TCCTTGTTTAACCTCTTCTAGCTCAGATACCAAAACCTCAGCATCTTCAGAATTCGCCCTCAACTAGCTGTGATTACAAAAGAAACAGCAGGATGGCCTTCAGTTTCCTTTTCTTTTGTATCTACTCAAAACTCAATGCTAAGCACTACTTACATACTTTTAACTTGTCCTCCACATATTGACTGCGCTTTAACTATATTTATTTGCTTTTCTTACAGGCACAAATTTTTTGTAGTTCATTTGTAACTGTGCTATCATGTGTTCTCAGAAATCACTGTAATAATAAGGTGCCTGCTTCATTCTAGGCCAGACTTCTGAGAGATGAACAATAGGTGAGTATCTGCACAACAGGTCAAAAATGATTCCTTATTCCCCCGATGCCTGAAGAATTCAACACTGACACATAGGCAATAACCAACCCTGGTCATCATATCAAAGAAGGTAAGGAAGAGAAGAGCAATCAAGAAACACTAAAGGAATTCCCTCAGAATGAGGTTTCTTTGTGGTCAGCAACTTAGTGATCTAAATGGAAATTTAGCCAAAAATACATGAAAGAATGATTTAAGAGTATAAAATGAAGCTACAGTAAAGATGTTTGGAAACATCTCATTCAGGCACAGCTCCAGAAACAGGAAGCTTGACATATTGTGGAATTCTGTCCAAAACAGAGGAAAGAGATTTGAGCAGCCAACTGCAGGAGAAATGAGAAGAAACACTGCAGTTTGTATTAATCAGTTTGTTCTGAGGCACTAGATTTGAAAAAAAGACAATAACTTGGAAAGAAGCAAGATACAATTAAGATTAGGAAAAAGAAATGGGATCACTAAAAGTTGGCCAAAACATCACAGAACTAAGAAATGAAAAGTACTCTTGATTTATCAACAATGGTGAAGGGAACATAGAAATACAATGTGTTAAGAGCATAGGAGACCCATATGGGATTAACTCCTCTTTATGTAATGCATATATTGATAATAAAGTATTTTTCAAATGTTTTACACTTCTCAGGAAACTGGAATTACACTGAAATACTGGGTGTTGGTTTGAGAAGCGTTCTAGTATGCAAGCAGGGCAGCAAGAATACAAAACTTTATGCTCCAATGCACATCACTGCATCCTTTAAAAAAAAGGGTAAAGAAGCAGCACATAAAACCAGTGCAGAGAAAGTACTCAAATAAATAAATTTATCAATATAATTACATAATTAGAGTATTCACTGTGAAGATAATAGCTTACTTTCTCACTTTCATAAGGAAAGACCATAAGGAGCTAAATAATTTAATTACAACTTTTGTTAGAAATAGACGTGTCTTAATACTATGAAGCATCATTGCAGTCCTAGAAATCCAAGACACAGGTCACTGCTCCTTGATGACATTAGTTGTAATTAAAGTGGTTTATCAAAAGTAACATAAAATTTAAAAATCAGATTAGATGACTCAAGCAATCAATAGAGAGCAATGCAATTAATAAAGCCAGTCTTTTCTGTATGTAAAACGAAAAGTATTTTAAATTAATGCAATTTTTAAATGTTCATTGGTGCAATATCGCATCTAGGAAGTCTATACACATGTTGTTCAAGACATGTAAACCTGACTGTGGAAAAGAAGCAAGTTAGCAGAATACAAGAAAAAAAAAGGATGTCTAGAGAAAAATTAAAGCTTTAAAATATTATTGTTTGGAGATTTGTTGGGTTTTTTTTTCTCTTCTTTTAAAGCATAAATTGAGTAGAACTTTACAAAAGTACCCTCGACATGCAAACTAAGGTTTCATTCTAAGGTTTTCTTCTGGTGGCATCAGTACAGCACCAATACTGTCAGTATGCAAAAGTGCTGATATACTCTATATGGGACATGAAATTGTTTAAACTGGGCGATAAAGACTAGTGATGACACTATACCAAAGAATTACCATGTGAATTTACATTCGTGATTCACAGTAAGTGTTTTCTTAACATGTATGGCCAGGTCCCTTGTGTTTCATTTCAGTAATACCATGTCCTGCTTTTCTGTTAAAAAATGAATTGTTGAAGTACTATGGAAATACTATGGCATACACATTCTAATAATAAAGACTTTTTGTTGTTGTTCTTTTTAGAAAACAAAAAAAGCTTAGAAAACTTGAAAATTCTGACAGATTATACACATCTTGAGGACAATTTTTAAAAATTATTGAAAAACTAAATGAAGGAAAACATGAATGAAGCAGTCAGTATTCTTAGACATAGTTAGCTATTATTCAGCACTGAAACTTTAATTTGTTCCATTTAAGATGGTGTTTACATACAGACTTCAAGTGTTACCTCACCTTAATCCACACCAAGGGAATCTGTGCATCTTATTTACTCTTGCCTTCTCATAGGTGGGATGTAACAGGGGGAAGGCATATTTACCCCACTTACACTACTAAGTATTTCTCAAGAAAGACATTTCTTTCTTCTTAAATTGCAAATTCTTAAGATTCTATTCCTGCTAAACAAGCATTTCATCTATTGAAACTAGTACATTCAATGACATAAGCTCTGTGGCAAGAGGAACAGCCTATAATGAGGTATATGTTACTTTCTTTCGCAGCAGATAAAGCTATGCCTTCTAGGCTATGAGAGAGAAACCACCACAAAATATTTATGATGAGAAAAATATGTACTAACACAGTACTAACAATCACTGGAATACTTTTCAATATTACTTTATGAAAGACACTTCAGCCCAACTCTATATTTTTTTAGAAAGTCTACAGTAAGCACAAATTCCAAATGGGAGCAGGACTTCAATGTGGTAGACATGGGTCTCAAAATTGCAATAACCTATGGATTGTTTATTCTAGTACAGCATCACTAGAGGCTCTCATCTTAACAGGTCAACAGGGCAGTGAACCACACTGACCACACTGACTTTTTCTGATAATCTGTTGCATATTTATATAGTAGAAACATATTTTTTTGCATTTGGTGAATAACATGAAAGTCTTACTGAGCTGAATTATGCTCACTGGAAACTACATTCTTGTGCTCTCTTGTCCAGATACTGCTGGGATCCTTGTTGGTTATAGACACGTCAAGATTTAAATGGTAGTATCTACCTCTTGCTGCATCTTCATCTTTTGTTAACAGTAGCTCCTGAAACTCTTAGAATTGGTGATTGACCAGATAAAATTTTCTCAAAGGTATAAATGAACTTCATACTTGGAGCAGAATTGCTAGTAAATCACAGGGCATTCGTGACATTCTGAATAAGCATGGAATAAACAATATTACTAGCTGGAGACTAAATAGTTTCTAAATAGTTGAATAGTCCATACAAATAGTTTGGATCAAGTATTACCAGCATATAGATATAACCCACATCTTGTGCTATGCAACCCAAATGAACAGCATCCATGACAGCAAAGGTCTTAGTCTAGCAAAACACAACTTTAGAGACTGTTCTTGTACTTAATGTTAACTATGTGCTTAACTGTTATTTGGATCAGGGCTTATCTTTGTGGAGAGAATAAATTAATATGAAGCCTGAACCTGCTTGTACCCTCAGGAGAATAAATCTGAAGATCGGAAGACCTTGAAAAAGTATTTGTGTGGTAAGTGCTTGAAGGATAAAATCCTGTTACCTGCAATATCAAGATAGTATTTCCCATACATGTTTATTGGATGACTCCTCTTTTGGTTCCTGTTGTAGGAGTTGAATATGAATCATTTTTATTCAGCATTAAAAATCTTAAAAAATGTCATCAATTTCACCATATATACTTTAATAAAAGTCTTGTAAATATGTCTGGTTCTGTATGTGCCTCTGGAGACCTTTTATTTAGTTAGGGTAACAGCAAAGGAATAATTACAGTGGCATGTTTCCAATAAAAGAAGAATCTGGAGTGCAGTTACAGAAAGCATTGGCTATACATGATCATGCAGTGATTGATGCCAAGGCTAAAGAAGCACTAAACATGAAAGGAAGTGATTGAGAATACGCTTCCTCTGCATGTGTAAAATAAAAATGCTTCTGTAAAACTCTGCTTTGGTCTGAATAAAAGGGAGAAGAAAATTCCTAGGAAGAACTATGCAAAAAGCGATTTTGCACAATCTTTCTCATACAATCAGAGGAAAAACCCTTTTTGTGCAATTTTTGCAAAAAAACCCCACAAAACAAACCTCCCAGAAGCTGTCACCATTTTGTGTTAAATGCTTGCATACAAGTAATAGCTCTTTCTTTTTTTAGATTTGTACTTTCACTTACTTGGACCCCACAAGTAATATAAAGGGAAAAAACAAGTGTTTACCATAATTCCATTTCTAAGAATGCAGCATTGTTCTTATTCCTCAAAAATAAAGAATGTACCTAATGTCCCTCCAGCTAGTTAGATTATTGGTCTCCCATCTCACAAAAATAATTACAAAGAGACAGAATTCAAACATAAACCAATGTTCATAAATAAGCAAAAATCCTCATCTTTTGTTCATGCTGTAAAAGATGCATACGGATCTGTGATTCATATATGTTAACTAAGTCTAACCAAGAGAACAAAAAAATGGACAAATCAATATACTTTAATTTGCTATAATGCAGTCTCATGGCTCCATCTGCATAGCACATGGTGTTCAACTGGAAAAAAAGACAACCCCCACAGATCCTATTAACCCTCCCTTCACTTCTAGTAAAAGTAGATTAAGGGGCAGAAAACTGTAGTAACAGGCTCTGCCTCACAAAAACAGAGGCAAAGATAAAATAGCTCTAATTTTCATATTTCTGAGAAAGCATCTGTCTATGTATGGTTATTGTCTGATATATCATTAAATTTACTGGAAGCACAGCCAACTTTTTGTGTTTGCAAACTCTGCTATTATTTTTACCTAAAAAAAATCTCTGAATATTAACTGACATTTTAGCAAAACAAAATCAAAAATCATTAAGAGAAAACTACAAAATAAACTTCAAAAGAAATAGAAAAGTATTTTTTTCTTTTATTATGCATGAACTGCAAAAATGAAATACAAGTATATACTGTACCTTGGTTTACCTGTAAGGAACACACACCTGACAAAAGGCAATCTTCACATCCAGAGTAGGTTCACCACAATAATACAAGAAATGGCGGCTCATAAATACCTGCAATTAAAGAAAAGTAGACATAGAAATCTTGTATGTCTGCTGGTGTGCAAGTACAGTGCAGCTGTGTCCACATCTGGATTATAAAATTAACCTGAGTTGCTACCCAGCTTGTGAGCAACAGAAATCAGCTACAACACTGACCTGTAAATAGGCTCTAAATTCTATCCGATGGTCATCAAGGTTTTGGCTTCAACTATGACCTGGTAAATCTGCAAAATTTTACAGTAACTGATGCAGTTACCTCTAAGTTTATCATGTCACTTGTATTTCTACATCAACAAAAATAAAATTCAGGTCAATAATGTTCTAAGCAATGTGGAGAAGGGAGACAGTTATTATTATGGAGAAGGAAAGAAACAAGTCCTAAGTTGGCAATTATTAGGAAAGTTATAGGAATTGAAAGACTAATTACATCATGTATAAATTCATGGCACAACCACTTTATGAATATTACACGTAGTTCCGATTCTCATCGTAACATCTTACAACTAGAAGTTACAGAAAAGGGTGGTAAGAAATATGCAAAGCATATTCAGATTCATTACATGAAACAACTGCACAGGCAGAATTTTTTTTTAGCCTAGAAAAGAGCTGTTTGAGTGGAGATATGCTAGAGATCCATAAAATGGGCGGCATACTGAAAAGTAAAAACGAAAACACTGTCCCCTGATGTTGTGGGGGTTTTTTTGTTGTGGTTTGTTTGGTTTAGGTTGGTTGCTTGTTTGTTTGTTTAATTTATTTATTTTAATTAAAAGAAGTCTGTGGCAACAAACTAAGTTCTCAAACAACAGATTCAGAATCAGCAGTAGAAGAGAGTTCTTCATATGCTGTTTCACCACACTGTAAAATTCCCTGCCTTGCATTCCTGTGGATGTCAGAAGTCAATGTTAAGTCCTAGTATGATGCAGCAAATTCACATAAGAAGGAACCTGCTGAAGGCTATTAACCTCAAAAATGACTCAAGGCAAGTCTGAGTCACAGTCTGCCACTATATGCACCCCCTATTTTTAAGATTCTGTCCAGTCTAGCCATACACTAGACTAGACAGGCCTCTGTGTGTACCCTATTACAGCTGTTTTAAATTAATTCCATAGCACCACATTCAGCTGTAACCAATCCTTTCCTAACTGCAGTCTAGCATGGGATATCCACAAAAATACCCCATAGTAATGCTCTCAGGCTGAAATAAATCTTTGGACCCTCTGATTTTTCTGCAGAGCTCAAAAAAACCCCTAAGACAAACAAACAAACAAACAAACATTAAAAGTTTTAACAGAACAGTTGAAAAAACAGCAACTTTTAAGTAAAAGGAAACAAATAATATAGACAAATTTTAGAACATACATGTTTTTATTTTAAATATAAGCTCATTGTAAGGACTCATAAAACAAAGAAATGCAATCGTCACCCCACTGAGATATGGCCATGATCCTGAAACACCATGTGGGTCATTACAGCACTTTGCTTCAATAGGAACAATTAACTAACTTCAGGTGTAAATATAAGGAAGAGAAGACTTAATTTGGAGTAACTTTATCTCACAGAAACTTGTGACTTAAACTCTAAGGAAGTATTCACGAATACTTTCATCATGTGTTCCGACATGTGTTTAATTTTTAATGAATGAATGAATAATCCTGTTATGAAAGCAAGTGTATGACCTTGTTTTGCATCATGTTACAGTATCTGAGACTGCTGCCTCATTGCCCAGTGAGCCATTACCAGAGCCTCACATTCCACAGAGGGTTTATATTAAAATGAGAGGGAGAAAGAAAGATACAAGAAGAGCTTTCAACATTAGCCAAATTGCCAGTGTTTTCTGGAGAGCCAGCAGATAATTATACTCTCACACTGCCAGTATATATACTATGAAATCCTATTGGTTGGATGCATTATATTACTATAATTATAATCTGAGTGTCGTTAGTTATAACATATCACGTTCAAGACAGAGTCTAATAGTGGAAGGTGAAGAAAGGAAGGGAAGGGAACTGGAGAAATTTGATTCTTCACTGAATTAGCTGTGAGGATCTACTGAGAAGACACTTTGCATTTCTAGTCGTGCACGGTGCCTCAGCTTTCCACAGGAGTGACTGTAACTGTTAATAGTCACCTTGGAACAGAGTAGTAGACTGGTGAATTTTATGAACTGGAATACATTTTTCACTTTATTATGTTGTCCTTATATGCAGTCACTGCTTATAAAATAATAGAAGTATGATATGTTTTAGTAGCCCATATCAATACTCATATTCCTCTGTGCATAAGATGTATCAAATGAATCGCTAGACAGCTGAGATATGCCAATTGTACAGCAGGAATTATAATAACTTGCTGTAGCACAGAGGTCTGTGTATAGCCAGAATGTGTATATCCAGGGAAAACTGATTTCGTGTTTTACACAATCTGTGTCTTCATATAGTGAACTCATATGAGATTCTCTTCAGTTCCCTGTAAGTAAATACACACGTATGTAACTTTCAATTTCTTCACACAGAAAACACATTCACATTCAACTGTGTAAATACCCTTGACCATATCTCTGGTGCTAGTTCACACCATGCCAGTAGAGACTTTGACAGTATCGGTGTAAAGAGCATAAAGAACTGGTTTGATGATGAGATAATTGTGTCAAAACATAAAGCAGTTATAAAAAAAGAAACTAGCAACAAACAGTTCATGAGGGAACTGAGCTTTAGGTGAGAGCATAAGTATCTAATATTTCTTTACTTCTGATGCTTTAAATTTTCAAACTTGAGCAAAATCACTCAGGGTAGGAAGAACTGGAGGAACAGAACAACAAAACACCTCGTAATAACCCAGGCTGACATCCAGCTGTGAAGCCAGAAGTTGGAGTAGCATCACAGAGGAAAAATCCTGTCAATGAAACACCAACACCACTACTGGATCTCAAATTTTCATCACAATCAAGGCATCTGTACGCCAGAACCTGTAAAAACATACAAGTCTCAGCAGCAAACATATGATCTCCTTTCAGGCAAGATACTAGAAGGCAATGAAGTAGAAGAAAGTAGACATGAAGGCAAGAATAAGAAAATCCTGAAAATCCTCTGAGCTTCCAGTGGAACAGTCCGAAATGGACTGCTGCCTGGGACTATAAAGATAACAAGGGGCTTGGCCTCTACCTGACCTGCTGCTTTGCCATCTTCTTCTTCACTCCATTCCTCCTCCTTATCAAGAGCTACTCTTCCAAAGAGAATATGGGCTAATGACACGACTCAATTTCAGGCATGAACTTCCCCTTCCCCTCAGTGCTGCTATGAAATCTGCCTTTTCTGGGGAAGGACTGTTTATTTTTAATGATGTTTATCTTTCTCTCTAGGGATCAGCGGAATTATCTCATTATTAGTCAAACAGCTTTTTGAAGACTGAAAGGATTAAATCAATACTATGAGTATAATTACTGAGAGCAGAGAGGATCGGGCAATGACAGTAGACAAAACAGACTGGAAAACCAGTAGTAACTGTAGTGCTTAAATACAGCCTCTTGCAGTAAAACTTTTTGCTTGTCCTTGAATTCTTTCCTCACCCTCAAATTGAATTCTTTCCTCACCCTCAAATCTATAGCCAGTGAATGTCCAAGCAATTTGGCAGCCAGTCTCTTAGCCTAGGAAGCCTTGTTTTCCTTCCCAAACTGGACTATTGTTCACATCATTGGCTTCTGCTTCCTAAGTGGAAAGCCTATGCATGTGTTAGGCCCATAGATGCAAACACTTGAGCCTAAGGGACCTGAACTGTTGCTGTGCTTGTCTGAGGAGAGTCTCAGCACTTGCACCCACCATGTTGCCTCTGAGCTGCTTCTCTGGCTGACTCTTAACAAACTTTAGTCTGGAAAAAGCATCACAGTCACTTTCTTTTTGGAAAATATTTCCAGGATGGTTTCTCATCCCCATATCTCCAACAAGCAAATCCTTCATGCCCAGTACCCATTGCCGCTGCTTGTCAAAGCATATTAAAGCTTTTTTTCGTGACCATTTATAAGACAAAAATGGAACCTCAGGAAAGTTCCATATAACTCTGAATGAAGAGATGCAAATGAGTCAGCTGCCTTGCTGTGATACTACTTTCTTCATCACAGCCTAGACAAGCAGGACTCTTTACCTCACCCCACAGCAAAATCATCTATGTCAAATACACTGATTCAGGGTTGAAGCAAGGTTCTTAATGAGAAAAGCTGCAGTAGCTGTTAGACTTGTATTTAAACTGGTGTTGCTGCTGTTGAAATGAATCAAGTGCCAAACTATCTGCAGTTCTCCTCCCACACTCCTGCAACTCTACTCTGTTTGAAGGTCATTTACATGTCCTATAGCAAAATGAATTGCAAACAAATCCTTCAAATTCTAATTTGAAAAACAAACCTGTGAAAAAAGCATATAATAAAAAGTATGAGTTCCAATTTAAACAGAAATCAAACCGCAGCTGAAGGTATTGTAGGCAGAGCTACTTGTATCTAAAACATCACTGAACTGGCAAGATGTGACTGCACTGGAAGGTTTTAACAGATTCACATGACATCCTCCAATAATATGCTATTATCTATTCCCAGGCCCACCAACTGTGATAATATCAATAATAAGGGGAAACTACACATATTTGTATTAAGAGCCAAATCCAGCATTTCTGCTTATTTGATTATTACCATCTGAATACATCACATGTGCACAATGGGTATAGTGAATGTGTTCCCTATCTTCACAGGGCAGATAGGCAGATAGTTCTACACTTGTGCTGCAAATGGCTAATTAAACTATTTATTGCTGCATTATTCTATTTCACTCATGAACAGAAGGATTCACAGAAGGAAAAAAAAGAAATCAAATAGGACAATAATTTAAAGTTTTAAAAAAATTATCTTGTCCCACTTCAGTGAGAGGGGGTGACTTATCAATTCAGTTGTCACTTAAAAACCTTCATAAAAAACACTAATGTTCGAAGATTAACATTTATGAATTATTAATGCTTCTTGCTTTCAGAAA